CACACAAGCACAAATTATTAATGATTCATGGTTCAAACAAAAAATCATAATAGAAATTAGAAAATATAACTGAAAAAGAAACAAATTGCAAAACATGCAGGATAAAGATGTGATTTTAAAATAATTTGTTTATGTGTTCCCCTTGGGGCTGAAAATTAACAATACCTTCATTATAGGGAATCCTTCCTCAAATCTCCTAAAGATAATCAGAGAAAAAGGACAAAGAAACCTAAATAAAAAGATGAACAATACACAATATCGTTCAGCAACAAGAAATATCAACAAAAACCCTAAGATAAATGTTAAAAGTTATAGAAAATATAAGTGCGGTAAGATGAAAAATGTCAAACACTTAAGTTTTTCTTCACTTTTATATTTTCATGATTGTTAGTACGAGAAAAGGATTTTCATATGTTGTCTACTTTTATAAAAAGTCCAAAATTTTATATATAAACTATAAAATAGATTAGCAGTTGACACTTTTCCTTCAATAAAAATATTTCCTCCTTTTCCCTATACCTTTTTGGGACATTTGTAGAGAAAGAGGTAGAACCCTTTATTAGTTGTTAGGGTTGCCATAACAAAGTACCACAGACTAGGTGGCTCAAAGGACAGAAATTTATTTTCTCACAAGTCTGGATGTTAGGAGTTTGAGATCAAGGTGTTGAAAGGGTTGATTTCTTCTGATGCTTCTCTCCTTGGCTTGTAGATGGCCATTTTCTTCCTGTGCCCTCACGTGGTCTTCCCTCTGTACCCGTCTGTGTTCAAATCTCTTCCTCTTATAAGGACACAAGTCATATTGGATTAGGGCCCACCTTGATGACCTAATTTCAATTTAATGACCTCTTTAAAGACACTATCTCTAAATATAGTCACATTCTGAAGTACTGGGGGTCAGGACTTCAACATATAGATTTTGGGGGAAAGTTCAGCCCATAACAAGCTTCAAAGTTTAAATTGAAAGTTTGCTAATTTGATGGAAGGAAAATGGAATTTCATCTTGTTTTAATTTATAATTCTATGGTTATAAGTGAAGTGGTCACTTGTATTTTCTATGACCTTAATGTTGATAGCCTTTGCTCATTTTTCTATTGAGTTATTTACTTTTTTCTTATTGATTTGTAGGAGTCTTTGTATATATTCTGCAAATTTATTCTGCATGTCTATTATTTGTCTTGAGAATAATTTCTTCTAATACTTTGCTCATCTTTTATATTTTTTCACATGGAAATTTTAAATATTGTGAAATGTATAATTTTTTATTTTAACATTGTCTTCTTTATAAATATTTTCTCCGCCTCAACTTTACAATCTCTAATACTTTGATAAATTTTTCTTTTGATACACTTGTCACACTGCCCTCCACT